GCAGCGGACCACCATGACTGATATATAAGTGCTATATAACCCGGCTCATCCTCCAATGTCATGAATGATATTAACGTGCAAAGAAGAGCGCTGACCTCCAAAGCAACAGCTTTCCTTGCAAACCGCCACCAATCAAGAACTCAGCGGATGCGTGCTACTGACGAGACTCAATAGGACGAAACGGCCGCCTATTGTCTACTGTTGCATACTCCAAGGCAAGAAGTCGTTCACCTGGGAGCAGTTCCACACATTCGAAGTTGTGTCCAGTGCACACGATTTCCATGAATTCGTCAATAGCGAAGTTGAAGAGGAAAGGTGACAGCATGCATCCTTGTCTTACACCGCTAGATATTTCGAAAGACGGCGACAGATTGGCGTAAGCCTTCACTCTACCCGAGCTACACGCATATAGCGCTCGGATAATGTTTACATATTTTTCTGGCATCTCTTTTCTGAGTAGACAGTCGTAAAGGGCACACCGATTAACCGAATTGTAGGCACCACTGATATCAAAGAACACAACGGTGGGCCGCCCATATATGTGACGGTGCCTCAACAATTGACGAAAAGTAAAGGTTGATTGATGCAGCCCCGATGAAACTCGGCTCGTTGCTCACGAATCTGGTGTTCAAGAGTGTTAGTCAGTCTGTGGAAGATGTGAGAAGGAAACAATTTGGAGGGCTGAGTATACCGCGAGGACGCCCACCCTTACGCGGATTCGAACCGGGGACCTTATGGTTACAAATAAGATGCGCAGACCACTCGACCACCGGCCAAAGATGCCGCAGGTTCAGAAGGCAGTTCTAGCTAACGCAATGCGCAAACTTTCAGTTTCTGTGCGCATATCGTGGCTGGTGCAGTTGCCAAAGTAAGTGAATCGATCAAATAGCTCGAATCCCTCGTTATCAAGGATCAAGGGGTCATTAAGTGGATGGTACGAAGCGCAAACCGAATAAGGGGACCACTCTGGAGAGGCTATTCAGGGTTGATTGTGCCGCCGCAACATTGTCAAAAAAACAAGACGATATCGTCCGCATAATCAACATCAACTAACGTTTCACCAGGCAGCACCTCAGGGCCTGCATCGTGTGGCGCCGCAAGGTAATCCTCCATGATAAAGCCCACAACGAAATTGAACAAAATTGGGGAAATCGGGCAACGCTGACGAATGCCAATTGTGGTCGGAAAACTATCTGATAGGCCACCGTAGGCCCTGACGCGGTCTGTAGTATTCCAGTATAGAGCACGTAAGATGTTCTCATATTTCGAGGGGACGCAATGTTGAAGTTGAGGAACACAGCTATTGTCGGTCTGCAGTATGCGTGGCGCTGCTCCAGCACCTGCCGCAAAGTGAATATACGGTTTACACAGCCACGTCCTGGGTGGGAACCTACCTGCTCTACTCCAATACGAGATTCCTGTTCCACACTGAGGCGACAAACGAGAATCGAGGACAGTCATTTTATCAAAACTGGCGTTAGCCTGATAGCTCTGTGATTAGCACGCTTGGTGCGACTGCCCTTTTTGTATATTGCCATCATAATCGATTCACTCCAGTTAGCAAAGACACTCTCCTCCTTCTAGATATGTCCGAATAGGGAGGTCAGTGCTTTGCAGAGGACCTGACCACCAACATTAAAAAGGGTAGGTGCGAGGGAATCCGGAACAGCAGAACGAAGGATGTGATCGCGTTTCGGACTTCAGTCTCCGACGAAGCCTCTAAACTAACCGTCCATGGCGCATCCTGTATCACCTGAGTATGAGGTACGGAAGCAGGGGGACAACTGAACTGATCATGAGTCTTCCGCCCAACGCGCCATACGGTGGTCCATATTGTCAACTAGAGCACCCGCGCTGTCTCTGTCTGTCCCACTGACGTCTGGTTTCCTGAGACCGGTGGTGTGGATAAGCTGGAAGATCTTGCGGTAATTGCCTACTGCTCATGCCTCCTCCATTTCTTGAGCCCGACTGGTCCACCAGGTTTCCAGGTCAGCATGCAGATTCCACTTTAGTTCGCGCCTAATAGTCCGCCTAGTCCATTGCGCTCAGAACCAGCAAGGAGTTTTCTTCTGGATTCCAACAGATTCACCGACCTCCCAGATATCCAGAGACTGGTGCAGTGACGACTGATAGTAGCACAAGCAGATGCTTCTGCGTCGTGCATGGCGGCAGACTGAAGCTCAGTGTCATTAGGACAAGAGAGCGAAAGTTCGGAATGAAGTGCAGCTTGATAGCCTTGGCTGACCGAGGGCTGAGACAATTTCTAGTTGCCAATCGGGGGAGAAGCTTGGTGCGCCTCCCGGTAAAAATCATGGAAAAGCGACAGCGAAGCAAAATATGATCATAGTCGACGCAATCAAGCCAGTACGAGCGGCAATCCAGGATGGAACCACGCCACTTATGGCAATGTGATCTATTTGGGTCCGTCGCTGGCCAGCTGCAGGTTGACGCCAAGTGGCACTTCGGCGCCCACTGTGTCTAAAAGTGGAGCTACTAAAAAACAAATGGTGCACCGCGCACAGTTGCAACAGGCGGTCGGCGTTGTCAGTCCGTTCGGAGTTGAGTCCACAGTTACCATCCAACTGAGCTTCTGAAGAGCTAAGACGCCCTACTTGTGTATTCATATCCCCTACAAGTACTATAATATCGGAACTAGTAGCACTGCGTAGTAGCGCGTTCAGTTCGTGATAGAATGTGTCCTTGGCAGCATCAGAACTGCAGTCGGTGGGAGCATAAGCGGAAACCCCAAACAAACAGCGTCTTGTACTAGTTTGTGAATCAACCATGGTTGATGTCGTCAAACGGGCTGCACACAAACGGCAGTTTACCGGAATCCAATCAACGTACGATAGTTCAGCCATGGAGCTGGGAATGAGATCCACCCCATCTTGACCCGTGGGTGCTACATCAGCGTTTCCGGATGCTTGCAACCAATGAGGAGAGGATAAGCCGGGCGCAGATAATTCAACAACCCCATTAGGGTCAATGATACTAGTTTCGGACACACAACATAAGTCAATTCCCAATGTGTCCAACGTGCGTATGAGTGCAGGCTGTTGACTTATTTGTCATAGAGTGCGAACGTTGAACGCCGCCAGGGAAACGGGACAGTGTGACCTTGTAAGGGGCAGTTGCCGATAGGCGTCCAGTGGGTGTTGCAGGAAGGTGGCTGCAGATGGTTAGACTATGGTGGCACTTCGGTTGCTGTCAATTAAGCTGGGATTTATAGAAGGAAGGATAGTAATGGGGGGTCAAGATGGAAGTCAAAGAAAGAGGTGGAACTGAAAGAACGGAGGTGTCAGCAGTAGGATGTTTTCGCTTATCCGCCCTGTTGTATGCAGAAGATGAAGCGACCCTTCATGAGCTGCGCGACGGCCGATGCAGGATGTAGTTAGAGTTTGGGGAAATTGTCATGGTTGTACGTGGGTTGAGATACTGTCAGAGCGCCCAGAGCTAGACAGGAGGATGATTAGGGTCTTCAACCAAAGCCTTGGGCTCAAAAGCCTGTCCGCAAGGCAGCGGAGAAGTGGCAAACCACCAAGCTGGAGGACCAGGAAACGGAGTTTGTCTGACCTCTAACCATTGACCAACCTGGTAGGAGTAGCTCTCAAGGGGCCCGGAGGCACCACCCTCTATAGCTCAATGGGTCAAGGGAGCACGCAAAACATCGCACCACGTTAGGTCCAGTCCTGTTGCGACGGACGCGGGTGTATGGTAGACAGGCGTGAAGCGTGTGAGCAGGATGTGGCGCGCGAGGTTAATCAGCGGTGCGTTTTCATTGGAGTGACTGGAATCCTATTTGACGAATTGTGACGGATCATTTCGGTGGATCGATGTGCCCTATAGTACGATTTACTCAGGAAAGGTGTGCCTGAGCATAGTTCGGACAGAGTGAGGGTTCATGGCAAACTGTCGCCGCCCTTCAATATCTCCAGCGGTGTGCTATAAGGCTGCGTGCTGTCATCTTTCCTCTTTACCACGGACGAAGTCATGGAAACTGTGTTTGCTGGACACGACCTACAAGATGCGGAGCTGCTCCCAGGTAAGCGACATCATGACTTGGAGTAGGTCGACGATAATGTCTTAATCTGTGACACTTCACAAAAATGCAAGGCAGCACTGGACAGATTAGCACTGTCTGTCAGTCGTTTCGGGCTATGCTTTGCACACTTGAAATGCAAAATGCTTCTCCAAGATTGGTAGGGACTCATCTCTGCGCTGACATGCGGCGATGACCAGTTGGAAGTCGTAAATCTAGTATCTAGGCAGCTATAGGTGTGCCCTTAGAACAGAAGATGAGGTCACGAACCGCATAGCAAAAACTCGACGCGCTTCTACCAATCTCCGCTATCTATGGAGACTCTGCGACATCACACTCGCTCTGAAGGGTAGAGTTTGCAATGCAGCCATCCGTTCAACCCTTTTGTACAGTTGCAAAAATCCTGGCCCACCAGGCTGAAAGACATAGAGAGGAGCAATACGTTCGACCATCAATGACTATGCAGGTTTGCTCATCTCTGGTAGGAGCAACGAGTGAGCAACGAGAGTGTTCGGCGTCGTGAAGAGCTCAGCACCGCTATATCAAGCACCAGGTTCCGATCGCTAAGCCGCGTGTTGCGATGACTTGGTCAAGAAGAATGAAAAGCCTCACTTCGAAACTGAGATCGGTTGGTGTCTCTTGGCCGCCGGGCTGGGGTCCAAAGGACGATGAACAACTCTGGTTGGAGACGTCTGTTGACATGGTGAAAAACCGATCTCAATGGCGTTTGCGTTGTGAGTTTTTTTGTACCTCCCCACCAACATATCTCCCACTCAACCACGATCTGATACCCAATGAGTAAGATGATATCTAGCATTACACTACCTTTAGTTTTTGTATTCTTCAACGTATTATATCTTGTCCTTTTGTATTGAGGCACATTAGTTGAGGTGTGTTTCGTACCAACTGTGAAACCCAGACAACAACCAAATGACAGATGTAAAATAACTGACCGGCTCACCTGACCACATCTTCTCACGCTTTTCTTCTCTTTCAAGATCCACGCAGATAAGCTTGTTCTTTCGTCTAGACATTGAGCGCATTTCCGCCTTTGTTAGACTGGTTCCGGCGAGCATGCGCTTCTGGTTTAACAAAAGCCGAAACATTTCGTACCCAAGCAGGAGCACGCCTCCTTCTTCATACCATTGACGAATGATCTGAACGATTTGAGAGGGTAGGTAGATGACAGTGACGATGAGAAGTTGGAGAAGGGTCGAGAGGCAAGAAATAAATTGAGTGAAGAGGGGAATTGACCAAAAAGAGCAGGAAAACGTGTCTGACTCGGATGTTAGAAACAAGGCGGCCAAGAACAGCTAGGCAGTAGGTACAAAAACAAAAGGGATGACAAAAAAATCGAACGTGCTGTCTTCAACTTGAAGTAGAGTAATGAACGGCTTATCACATAGTGTTGAGAGAAACCTAGTGCGATCAACTCAACATAATTGCAACAAAAGAAATCAATTCAATTTCACGATATGAAGCGGCGCAGCTACCTGCCAATGGTCCTCCTGATTGACGCTGTTGCAAGGACACCGTGTAGGGAATATCCAACGTCAAAATAAATGGGTGCGAGTTTCAAACATTTCGGCAAACAACGCAAACATGGATATACCACATACGGCAAACACGAAGTCGATGCTGTGGAACAGATTCGAACCAAAACAGCCACTACGAGAGTGTTAAAGTTGAAGACTCGGTGTTCTAGAGTTTGACAGCAGTGCGAACAATTTACACCGGGCAACTCATTTCGTCCTCATGCGGTAGAGAGCTGGTTGGGTCCGCGGTAATCAAAGCTCCGAAGTCTGATGGGTACAGGTTTTGAGACCGTAATCATAACGATGACTATGATAATGAGAGAAGTCCAACAGAAAGTGAGGAAGTAGAAAAGTTGATGGTCAAACACGACTGGCCGGATGGAAACCAGTGCAAATCTCACGAGTGGTTTATGTGGGGATTGGTATCCACTTACTGGTAAAATCCAACCCGAGAGTCCAACTCAGGAATTTATTGGATGAACTGTGTGATGTTATCCGTATGCATTACGCTGCTTACACAGCGGATAAAGTGGAAACAGATAATCAAGATACTTTCTACAGAGGTGAAACCCAGCCCGGGCCTCGCGGTCGGAGTTCTCGGGGGCCAGCGAGCCGTCTCCGAAGGACATCCGCGAACAGTTCCGATAAAACAGTAGCAAAGTGATAGTAGTGGCTGGCGTTCGCTTTATTCACGTAGTTAGCCAATGATAGATGGCATTCCAATTCACACTGTTATCGCTTTGTGGACAGTGATGTTTAGCAGTAGGGAGTAAACACGAAGAGAGTGGGAGATATGCGAGCGAGCATAAATCCATGATCGGAGTCCAAGGGCATACATAGTTCTGACAGACCCCCACATACGGGTGTACACCATCTGCAACTGATGGCAAGACGTTCAATTTGCATACAGGACATCATTTCGCCAGGTGTATGGTACCTGAGGTAATGCAAACAGTTGTATCGAGAGGTTGTACTGTTGAAACAAAAAATTGGCGTGCACAGCTGCAGGAGTCGACCGGTGGCCGAGCGGTCTGGGCGCCTGGTTTGCAACCATAAGGTCGCCGGTTCGAATCCGCGTAGGTGTGGGCGTCCACGCGGTACACACAGCCCGCGCGCGACTGGTGGTGGTCACGTGGCAGCGAAGCGCCGTTATGGCGTACAGCTGGCAATTCATTTTACTTTTTCAGCTGAAGGAATCTATGAACAAGGAGTATGCGGATTTCAAGTGGCCTTCTAAGCTGTGCTCAGAAAAATAAAACTGACCCGTCGGAGAATCTACGTCTCAACGAACTACCACACTGCGGTCACATAAATGATGGATAGGATCTAGCGATTGTGTTTTTCTTTGACAATTTTTGAGCTGTGTTCTGTAAAGAGAATGAAATGACGCAATGTCTGCAGACGCAGTCCATCAACAATTAAAACGGCAACTAGTGACGCTGTCATTTAGACTCGATTACGAAGTCCCGCCTAGAAGACCAAATGGATTATTCATTGAAACACCATTGGAGAACTTTTATGATCAGTTCAAGGAGCTTCAACCTACCATCATCATTATATTATTATATACGTTAGCTAGAGGTGTAAAACACCTCAGCTACTGTGCCGTAATACGTAAAATAAAAAAAGAAAATAAATACAACAATTGCATGTCAGCTGAACTACCAGCAACGGATGGGCATCGTTCCGGAAAGCTAGCAGCCGGCTACTAGGCAACAAGAAAAATTATAAAGTAAAATTATATTATGCTACGAAATGAAATCATGGTTGGGGGGGAGACTAAAAAGGATGGGGAGGGACAACCTACCAGCCTTGAAAAACAGACGTGGTTTAGGAACAAGTTAACTGATATCGCCTGAGGTCAAAACAGCGCCTATAAATGAAAAATGTGCGCTTACAAGCCAGCGTCTTCAAGCGCTGCGTGAACTACGTGCTAAAGACGGGGTTGTAACAAAACCGGATAAGAATGCGGGAGTGGTAATAATGAACAAGCTCGATTGCATGGAAAAATGGGTATCGTAGTCAACGACGCGAGCAAATTCGAACGGCTTAAGAAGGTAGAAGATGTGACGGAGGTCGAGACGCACGTTATCCGTCACCTTGATAAGCTTCTTCTCCACCGCGTAATAGATGACGCTACTTATAACAGTTTAAAGCCCAGTGACTTAGTTACTCCACAGCTGTATAGGCTACCGAAACCACACAAGAGTGGTGTGGAGCGCCGGCCGATTGATAAATGCGCCTTAGCATAAACTAGCTCGTTGGCTCGTGAAGGCTGTTTCTCCACTGAGACAGTTAGTCAACCGGTACAGTCTGAGACGCATTTCAACTCATTGACGACCCCGATGCGATCAACTTGTCAGACAAGATCATGTGTACCCTGGATGTGGAATCCCTCATCACTAACGTTCCTGTACATGAGACTGTAGATTATGTGTGCGAACTAGATGGACATTCTGGCTGTCCAATGCCGATTCTGGCCGAATTACTAAGGGGTTCCTTGCTACTGCACACAGAGAATGTTGATTTCCCCTTTCAGAACACGCCATACCGCCAAGTCGATGGGGTGGCAATGGGCAGCCCACTGGGCCCTTTACTGGCTGTTTTCTTTATGCTCATGGTCGAGAAAAGAATGTCCACAAAGAGAGACCAACTGTCATACTACAGCCGCAATGTTGATGACATTTTGGCTTTCTGTACATCTGAGCAGCATATGTCCCGGTTGGTTGAGCACTTAACAGTACACATACCAACCTGCGCGTCATCTGCGAGCTAGAACGAGAAAATTGTCTACTATTCTTGGATCTTCTCATCAGTCGCAGAGATAACGGACAGGTTAGGAGATCCACCTCCCGAAAGGCAACATGTCCGGTGCGTACCTGCATTTCACAAGTTTTACATCAATGCGGTACAAGCGGACACTAGTGAAGACTTTATTTAGTCGTGCCAGACGATTGTGCGCGGTAGACTGCCTAACTGATGAGTTGGAGCGAATTACAGTCACACTGATGTCAAACAGTTACCCTTGAAGGTTTATAGCAAAGCACAGCCAGCCATGTAAACCAAAGGACTTGGAGCAGGAGACTGCGAAGAAGAAACTTCATATCGAATTACTTTCCAAGGGTGAAATCGCCATGTTAAGGACCACTAAGCGCCTGGTCACTGCTGCGCATAGGACCTACTATGCTGCTCAGGTTGTCATCATCAACAGAACCAGCAAGTTGCAAGTACCTCATCGGAAGGAAGCTCTGTCAATCGTCACCAGTTCTCATTGTGTATACCAATTCACATGTAACTGCGAAGCCAGTTACATTGGTAGGACCGATAGAGCATTGTCATCCCGGATGGAGGAAAACGTATCGAATTGGATCCTGTGAGGGATAAACGAACAGCCTTTTCCTACACAAGCCCTGTCGTTGCGTAAGCCTCTGGCATAATCGATACTTAAACACCTATTGATTACTGGTCACCAGGTCCGGATCAATACCGCGTTCAAGATTTTGCTGCGGCACTCTAATCCGCGATTTCTTCGTTTCGCTGAGGCTATAGCGATTAGTCGAATGCAGCCTATGCTGTGCGTGCATAAACAGCTATTCGTCAGTCTCAAGCTTCAGTGAAAATAAAGACCGAATCGTTTTCGCAGATCTTGATCGCCAAGTCTGTTTCTTCTTTTTTTGGTCACATCAACCATTTGCTATTGTTTCGCATCGGTTGTTGTCATTGGTAATAAAGAGACAACACGAAATGTTTGCATCCATCAAATTTTGTCCTCTTGCTGTGTTTTTCAAATTGCTGAAGGGAATTAATTGCTTTCACTCGCTTTCATTTCAGATTAGACAAATTCAGCCGACCACTGAGTTGCATACTTTGACTGCGGTGGCTTAGGCATATGCTTCGCATATTACCTTAGCGTTTGCCCAATTCCTCCCTCTAAGCATCTGCAGAAGTCGTTTGGAAGCGGAAGCAAGGTGGACAACGAATCAGTTAGGACCAAAGTATGAACAGCGCCAACCACAACGTTGACCGCGGTCGGGCGTTCTCGAATCCCCAGCTGGGGACATAAGAGTTATGAGCACCTAAGACAATAACACGTAATCAATGGAAAACGTGTTGTGAGGTCTCAATCTCATGACAAGTTGGCAGTCTATTATTTCGTCATGCTGTATAAATCTAAACGTTATGGCACTCTGTCTATATATATATATATATATATATATATATATATATATATATATATATATGGTGCGTTGAGACTGGTGGTGGCTAGATCCAGACAGATGATCTACCCACTGCTGCTACTGTTGCGCCATTGGCTCATGTCCTGGACGCCTCCTCGTGGCGACCGCTGGGTGTGAGTTAGGTTTCGCCCTTCTCCATGCTAACATCCAGGACACCAATCCGCATGAGTCAGTGAACGGATCATGTGCTAAACCCGCTGCCTTTCGGGTGTACATTTAATCGAAGGCTTTGTCTGAGGACCCGAGTCGTTCTCCTGTCAGGTGTGGGTGCCCTGCCAGTATTCTAGTCCATCCTCTTCGGAGGTTAGGAAGTGGTCGATGGCCCTCTTCCCGTAAAACCTAGCCATGGGAGACAACAGGTCTACGGGTTATAAGCTCACAGCT